CCAAAGAGCCGATGTGCAAAGAACCCCGGGAAGCTCCTTTTTTCTGTACCTTTGTATGTATATATATATGCATATGTATACTATATAGTGTGTGTATATATATATATAGAGAGAGAGAGAGTGTGTGTGTGTATATATATATTCATATATAAACATAGTATATATGGACCTTTTTGCTATATATCAGATCCTATATCCCCAAGAGCCAAGGGCCTCGTGGCTCGCCATCGGGCTCTTCACGTTGTCAAGCTCTACCCGATGAGCTTCCTGAAATTGAAGCTCTCCAGACATTGGGGATTAGGGTTTAGGGTTTAGGGGGTTTTGGGGGGTCTTAGGGGGTTTTAGGGTTTAGGGGGTTTTAGGGGGTTTTAGGGTTTAGGGGGTTTGGGATTTAGGGTTTAGGGTTTAGGGGGTTTAGGGTTTAGGGTTCCTCTCTCCTTTCAGATTCCAGTTCCCAGAGAGCCCAATACCACTGAATGAAGGAATAGACCTTAAATCACAAGAGGGGGGATGCTTCATATCATGATGTAAGCTATAGAGAGAGAGAGAGAGAGAGAGAAATCGACTCCTGGCAAGGAGACGGGCACCCGCGTTGTCTCCGCCCCGAAGGGTTAAGACGCAAACGGGGCATGGGGCTCCGCAAGCGTCATGGCCCCATGCGAAGCAGAGCAAACGCAGCAGCAGCAGCAGGAAGATGACGGAAGTGTGAAATCAACAGTATGCGATCCGAAAGCCGTGGTTTGATGATTTGCAACAAATCAGGACATCCTCAACACACGGTGCTAGGAGGTAAGCGGCGGGAGTCCTGAGGAGATGGGCCTTGCTGAGCATCATGCTGCTTCCGGCTGTTTAACAGGGGTGTCAGGAGTAACCCTCCAGCAGGGATGTAGCCTGACGCAACTGTGATCGACCATCTTATAACCGATGACAACAAGGTATAGCCCGAGCCAACGGGCACCACCACTTCCACCTGGAATAGTACGATATCGCAATGGAGAGTCGCCATGCTGACCTCCACGTGTGAAATGAACTGGTAGTCGGCGAGTGGGGAGCACCATTGCTGCGACCCGGTTGTGGGAGAGGGGAGCACCATTGCTACGACCCAGGTGAGCGGGAGGGCGGGTGGGTGATTGCAATGCGGGGAGCACCATCGCTACGACCCGAAATACAGCAAACGGGGAGCACCATTGCTACCACCCGTGGAAGGGGGGAGAGGGGGTGGGGCGGATTAAGTCAGGCCGTACCATACCGCGAGGAATGTGCAACTTGGTGTCTTCCAATAACTCAGCCGTGTCCTTCCCTCCCAAGGTACTTGTATGATGTTATCAAAGCTCCGTCCGTGTGATTCAGCATCCGATCGCCCCGGTATGACCGACTTCGTGCGGCCGTTTGTTTCCAAGGGCGTATCGAAGACTTCATGCAGCGAGTCGTCGGTAGCTCTTTTCCCTCGCTGCCGCTCAGCCTAGATGGGACTGCACAAGAATGTCCAATCTCACCTGTTGGCACTGCTCCCAAGACGCACACTCTCAACAGACATACGTAAGGAACCAGGGCCTTTTCATTCGACTATACCGGGGCAGCATCATGACCACCTGAGAGTAATCAATCATGGCCTTCCTGAGAGTAAAGCATGCTGCATGTAAATGTACGGCACTTTCGCCCTAGTGCAACTGGATGGGGGAAAGGGGGGTGCTCGTCGAGTCGCCAACGACTCTTAGTGCCGCCCCGGGGGTCCACACCCTTTCCAGCACCAGCCCACCCAGCAAAGACAAGCACTAGGCCCCGGGGGATGTAAGCTATATTCTTTAATTCAGGGATCTTGGGTTCTCTGGGTTCTTAAGCCAAGGAGTTTTCAGTTCTCAGCCTTTGTCCAGCTTATACCCTCTAAGGTTGGAAGGCAAATGCCCGTGAATCTTAGACCCGGCTTCGAGGTACATGTCCCTGAAACCTACAGCCGGGGGATCAGGGCCCGGAGTGACACTTGGAAGTCACTTTTCATATCTACACATATATATATATATACATATATATATATATATATATATACATACATGTGTGTGTGTGTGTGTGTTGCTGTTCTCATCAGCAAGGGCCTTCCAAATCCGACGGTTGCTGCATTTGTCATGGTTGTCTTCTGTGTGGTTTGGCCGTGCGGGCTTTCACAAGTTGTTGCTGGTCATGGACAAAGACAGATCTGATCTATATAACCTTCCAACAAAGAAGGAAGATGCAAAAGCAAACAATCAACCCGTCGAGCACCTGAAATCCTAAAAACCCCTTCTGACTTCTAGTAAGCTGCAGGAAAACCTTAAGGCTTCAAGTCTTTCAGGCTTCAAGGACCGCCTTTAATATTGTAGAGGCCTTAATAATTTGGGGGATATCAGACTATAAGCTATAGTAAGGAACCCCCAAAACAGTATATGTAATAAATTATTATAAGGCCGAAACTACCCTAAACCCTAAACATACTATAGTCATAATAAGGAAGCCCCCAAAACTTATGTAATTATTAAGGCCCCAAAACTCCCCCCAAACCCTGATCCCTAAACATATTATAGTTATAATAAGGAACCACCAACATTTATGTAATTATCAAGGCCCCAAACCCTGAAGCCTAAAAACACTATAGTTATAATAAGGAACCCCCAAAATTCATGTACCCAAACCCTGAAGCCTAAACCGTCTCTCGGCGCTTGGGCGAGCAAGGAGCCTCGACCTCGGGATCCCCCGAGGCGGAAGGCTCCGGATCCCCTTCCTGAGCTTCCGGGGGTGGATGCTTTAGGGCTTTAGGGCTAATTAGGGCTTAGAGGGTTTATATAGGGCGTAGGGTTTAGGATGGTTTAGGGGTTTAGGATTTAGGATGGTTCAGGGGTTTAGGGTTTAGGATGGTTTAGGGTTGATTGTTCAGGGTCAAAGGGGCGGAAGGACTTTTGTTGCAGGGCCTTGCAGGATTCTGGCAAGTTCAGCTTGAGGGCTTCGGCCTTCTCATGTAGGAACCTGATTCAGAATTCCTGGCCCTATAATCCCAATATATTAAGATCCATATTAAGAACCCTAATACGGACCCAAGGTTTCCTAATCAGGTTCCTACATTAGGGCTTTGGGAATTTCGCCATTGCGCTGCTGTTGCTTTGCTGCAGTGCCTCAGGGTTTCTTCGGCTTTTCTTCCATGGAGTATCATCTGTTCGGACTGACTGCGGGACGTGGGGCGGCTCAAGCGAGGTTCGATGGGGTTCACTTTCGAAAAGACCGATGGGGTCGCTGGAAACCTAGCAACCATGCGTTGAAAGCTGCCAAGGTAGCTTGTGTCGAAGACTTGCCCAGTTCAGACTAGACTAGTTGCAAGCCAGATTCTGCATGGAGTGCGGGGCTGATTGCGTGGCTGTGGGAATGGGGAGAATGATGATGATGGTCGGCAGGAAGTGTCTCGTAATCATCGTGACAAAGCCTGTTCTCAAGCGCCAGCAGCCAGTTGTCCTTAGCTTGCAGCCGGCTGCGCGGCTTGAAACTTGAAGCCATCTCTTGTTGTTCTCCGCTACAAAGTTCTCAAGAAGAACATCCCGACACCCTGTGCAAGAAAGTTTATCATCTCCGGCTGTGCGACGAGACGGGCCATGAACTGGTCATGGCTCCTCTGCACGGCTTCTTCCACCAGCTGAGAAACCTGTGTCTCCATGGCTGCCGAAGGAGCTCTTCGAGCAACAAGCTGCGCCAGAAACATGGAGCTGGTGAGTGAGGTGTGCTCATGAACAAGCTGGGCTGTTACTCTGCGTCGTAAGATGCCGTCTACGCATGGCACTTGAATCGAGCTTGGGGATGGGATGGTGGACGCAAACCCAGTTGATGGAGCTTCTTACCCGAAGTGCCATCCCTGTGACATGCACTCCGACAGCAAAGCTGAAGCACAGCGCTGCAATGTTTGGGTCTGGAGCCACTGGGCTAGTCGGCGAAGCCCCGTTGCCGTTGGCACGCAATTCAAGTCAAGTGGCCTCGGGGCATTGCATGAGCTTTGCGGCAAAAAGGTCGGAGGATGGAACAAACAGCGAATACCACATGAAAAGGCGCTCTAGCCTGATTTATGCCGTGGCAAGCTGTGAGTAGCACCCCTTGCAGGCTCTATTCCAGCACGAGTGTTGCATCCCACAAACGGACTGCAGCAAGGTGCGAAATCTTGGTCCCATCCACTCTCATCATCTTCGTATTCGATCTGGTTTGGCATATCATCCTGGCAGGTGTTTCGGGTCTTCGGCTGGACCGCTACATCCGTCCTACGCAGCTGCTCGGCGACTCGGCACTTGCCTTCCTCGCGACGAAATTTGTCATGTCCTTCTTGCCTCAGCTCCGGCACAGGATGAATTCCTTCTGATCCGTGCTTGTGTACTAAATACCAATACTATTTTGGGGGTTCCTTATCATAGTTATAATATAATGGGCCCCCAAACCCTACTGTGTCTACCAAAACTTGACCCGATAGCTTCATACGAGCATTAGCAGCCCAAGCTTCTAGGGAGCCTGCCGCGCTTCTAATATAGGGGCCTAAGTAAATACCGATACTATTTTGGGGGTTCCCTATTATAGTGGGCCCCAAAACCCTATTCTAAGTAGTAAGGCTCCTATATTACCAGCCTCTGTCTCTTCCTCCCTTCCTCTGAACTTACCAGATCAACCACGCTTCTCCGCAGTGGCACAGACGTGCAAAGCAAAACAGAAGTGCCGTCAGAAAAAATAATGTCCGGGACCTACGCTTGAAAATTAAAAAATAACTCGGCCTATCTTTGAACCCTCTAAAAGCAACTCACAAATCGTGCGTCAGCAAATGCGCCGAGAAGTTCCGCCCAGACAGGCTGCTTGTGTTGGCTTTGAATATTTCGTACAGAAGCAGATTCCATTGAACAGCTGAGGCGCTGCAAGCTCCGGCTGTGTGGGGAGTACAGCATGACAAAAGGAATATTCTGGCTGCGACTCTACTAGCGACAAGGCTTCCTGGTACCCTCGCCCTCTCAATGCGGGTGCAAGCTGCTCTTGACGATCGGCTTGTATGGAGGATCCAATTTCTGGCTTTCCTCGGTTGCTGCATGCAGAGAAGCATGTCTCCAGTAGACAGCATCCCAGACAGAGGGGAGCAAGGGATGCCAAAAAACGGACCAGATTTGTGCCGCGTTATACTTCTGCCAAAACTGCCATCGAGCGGCCATGCCTTCCCAGTTGAAGCCAACGTACCACTTGTGATCCTTGACGTTTTGGATTGCGCCAGGTCGCATTGGTAGACGCTCGCTGGGCTCCTTCTTGAGCAGACCTGGCAAGGACCATGCTGTCACGCATTTGCACGAGGTTGCCGCACACTCAGCTTAAGACTTAAGAGCAAGGTGGGGCTTGTCAATAGGACCCGGCAGGATAAGGCATCGGCACTCGTGCGGGTCTAGTTGGGTAGACGTTTACGGTTTCTGCTCTCCTGTGTTTCGGGCAGCTCGCATCGGTACTAATTATTCACGATTACCTGTGAACTGCTTCGATGAATCCGAGTCTTCGGAACTTGTGGCTTTGTGCAGTCTGCAGCGCTAGTCAACCCAGGCATTGAGCAAGAAGAACAACTGGTTCCTCTGCTGCAGGTGTTCGCACAAGCCTCAGCATGATGCTGGCGATGATGATGGTGATGGTGATGGGGAACCCGAAGCGCAGACAGCCACGCCTTTGATCAGGTCGCCGATGGCCCCTTGGCACTTCGGCGGCATCTTCACCTTCCCAATACCTTTCCTGAGCTCGTCGTGTAATGAGGGTGCAATTGAGGCGCTGGCATTGGGTTTATGGTTTCGGGTTGAATCAGGTTTTCGTCCCAAAGGCTCAGAATTTCGAACCACTGAGTTTGGGATTCCAGGCAACGAGCATGGCCATGGGAATGAAGTCTTTGCATACATGGGGTTGTGCTTCTCGTGACGATTCAAGAAGGGAGACCGACACCAGTCACACTTCACCGAGTCAGACGTTCATGATCTGAGGGTGGAAGCAAGACGTCCATCCACTAGTCGAAGGCTTGCCTTTTTTCGGGCTTGAGCACTGCGCTCGACAATCTCCCCAAATTTGTACGCTGCTGTAGTGTCTCTCGGATGTTCGCCGAAATTCGGCGAATAAACAACTCCGAAGATGGACGCCGAACAGCATGATTCTTGCCGCCAGGCATCATGACCTTCGAGTACGTCTCCACTGGTGTCGGCGACTCAAAGGGAGGATGTCCAGCCATAAACTCGAAAAGCAGAATTCCAAGCGTCCACCAATCCACCGCAATCCTTCCCAAGTGCCGTTTTTTGGGGGGTGCATGGATCTGCGGGAAGAATGAGCAGTTGCTAACAATTAGAAGTATAGGTGCTCTACAAGGGACCTTGGTTGGGCCTGGGTTTCCTGCTTATAATAGTTACAACAGTTATAATAGCACCGCCGAAAAACTGTTTATTAAGTGCCCCCAAACCCTCCAACCCTCGTGTTGCATCCAGGCATCGTGTGCCCGGACGAGGAGATGAGCTCCTCGAGGTTCATTTTGGAAACTCTAAACCCTTATAGAGCCCTGTAAAGGAACCCTTACAGTGCCCTTATACTAACCCTTTAAAGGTACCCTAAGGTACCAGTATATTCGGAAACTCCCATATGGGTGGTTGTCAAAATTATGGCCCCTTTTGGGGTCCCTTATATAATACGGCACCTATTATTTAGGGTACCCAAAAAGGGACCCCAATTTTGACAACTACCCATGTGTTTTGTTGGATTCATCTAACACTGTCGTATCTCATATTGTGTTATGTTCGGTTATCCGGGCACCATATCTTACCTTATATATCAGACATGGGCCGGTTTCGGGATTCTGGACTCGTGGTTGCGCGCGTCCGGATCATCCAGATTGCACTTTGGCTTTGGGAGGTTTGGGCTTCATGCGGCTTTGCGGGATCGCTTATGGGTCTAGTCGGCAGCCGTGGCAACAGTGGCGGCAGGAGAAGAAGGGTTGATATTGAGTCATCGTGCCACCTAGCGGCTGGAGCAAAGTAGTCCGGAGTCCCGCACGTCGTGAACGTCTTCCCAACGACGAACTTTGCGAGACCCATGTCCTTAGCTGAAGACAGCTCTCAGAAGATGACATTGCCGCCATAACGATATGGGAGTTTCCGAAAATAGGGGTACCTTATTTAGGGGTCCTTATAATGAGGATCCTACTATTAAGGGTACTATTTTAGGGTCCCCTATTTTCGGAAACTCCCATATGCTGTCAGCTTCATGGAGGCAACAAACCAACGGTTCCAGGGCGGAGCTCTTGCGGCCCCGCCCGGACGCGGTTTAGGGTTTAGGGCTCTGTGCCGGGGCGACCCTTCCGGCCGTGCCCGGCCCCGCCGAACCCGGCGGGCCGATAACAAAAACTGTCTGGTGTTCTACATCGGGTCTAAAAAGACCCGGCGGGGCAACAGCAAACACAAAAACACCACTACCCTTTAAACCACCCTTTTAATGTCCCTTAAGATCCTTTAAAGGCTATAAAACCCTATAACATTGTATAGAAAGTACGAAACAAAACCCTTTAACAGTTTCCTAATCCGAGACTCCGTGAGCTTCAGCTGCCCAGACTCGTTGAGCAGCAGATTCTCAGGTTTCCTCAAGCCAGGTTCAGGCTTCAGGGCGCTTAAGGGTTCTTAGCTTTTTCAGGTGTTGTAAGGGTAGAGGGCGGAATTTGAGGGCTGAGGATTTAGTGATTTTGCTTGTTGTTAGCAGGGTTTTGTCGATGTTCTTTGACGCCAAGTTTACAGTTCTTAAGGGCTTACTGTTGATGCTTCACAAGGTGTCGCAGGAGTCTCGTAAAAGATCTTGCATAAGGACTTTTGAGGGTGTTGCAGGGTTTGAGGGGCTTTACTATTTCCTTTGAGTGTGAGGGTGGTTGTTGGGATTTGGGGTGTACAGTAGAAGCCAGAAAGTTGGAATATCATTATCGTAACCCCTTTAAGGTAAATTATAGGGGATCCTACCCTGAAACCATATTCCTACTTTCTGGAGTTCCTTGTAAGGGGGTTTGATCAAATACGGGTTTCAGGTTTGGGCTGAGGATTTTCAGGCTGTTTCCGGATTGGTGCTTGCGATGTAGGCTTCAGATTTGGGGGCCTTGATAATTAGAGTACGGTTTGGGGGTGTATTATACCATAACTATACAAGGAATCCCCAATATAGTGCACTGTCTATCCAGCCAGGGTGCAGGTCTCGGTAGATGATGCGTCTGTCATGCAGATGAGCCAGTGCGCAGACTGTGCCTGCACCAGCCGACGAAGCCCCAGCCAAGCTTTGCCAAAATCAGCTACCACTACGGTTGATGATATAAATCCTGCATTCCCCTAGGAACCCTAAACTATGAGAATTATGGTATATTTCTTATCATGGGTATTGCAGGATTTATACGAAGGACGATGACACGATGGCATGGATAAGGCTGTCAACAACCCACGCGACTGCTATACTTCCTGCCTGCAATGTAGAACTTTGCATGCTTCTCGCTCCTTGCACGCAAGCAGAATAGGGCACGAAACAGGGTTGGTTTTGCCACGGCAAACTGGCTAAAGAGGCTTTGCCAATTATCGCTGCAGACTTGTTCATTGCTTCCAAGATTGTCGCTGAAGATCGGTTGGTCATTGACATGCAAGACTGGACTCAAATATTAGATCCAAAAGGACGGACATGCTTGCCTGCCGAAAGATCTACATCGCGAGCGAGCGACGGCTACATGAATTTGTGTCTTCCGACAAACAGGCTCTCAGAGTGACTCATGAGAAGGCTGAGGAGGCGACCCATGGAGACCTTTCCGGTTGTAGGTTGCATAGAGCTCACCACCCAAGGCGGCTTCAAGAAGGAAATACAGTGTCTGGCTCCCGTTGAAGCACTCCTGAGTCTCTGTTCATTGACTCCGAAGCGAAGTGGCAAACATCTGGACGTGACATCATGCCGAATGCAGCCCCAGCCACGAACAACTTGATGACGAAGAAAGAGTTCGTCATCATGAGAATGTTCTTCTCGTTTAAGATGCTCTGCTGCATGCCTGTGGCATACGACCCTACAGCCGACTGTACAGGGTGCCAATATGCTCACTTAACAAAGCTGAGCGCACCGCCCATTTTGACAATGTACCCTTTGGAGACACACTTCATTGCATAGGTTTCTTTTGTGTCCCTGCGTGGGGAGCAGCGAATGCACGCCATAGCCAGCTTTTTGCAAGTTTTGGTCAGGCGGCGCCTGTGTTCCCAGAGCTCCACAGAGGCGAAACCACCGCAGCCGAGTAGGCCTAGGCGAACCAAGTCCTGGACTCGGCCACTTTTGGTAACTGGACCGCGGCAGGTGCAACAAGTCGGTGCACTTCGTCGCGAGGGGGGAGGGAGAGAGGCAAGAAAACAACGAAGGCCAGAGGAAGAGAGAGATAGAGAGAGACAGAGACAGAGACAGAGAGACAAAGAGAGAGAGAGAGAGAGAGAGAGCGGCATATAGAGACATGGAGCAGGGGAGAGAAGCGGGCTCGGTGAGCTGGAGTCTAAATCTTATAGCCATGCCACAATTGGCTGCTAGCACCTAAACCTGACCACAGCCTGCAACAGTGGTGCACAATTCCCTCATGTACGATGATCCTGTTACTTCTTCAGCCCTGACTCATGAATCGTCCCCAGTTGACCAGAGGTTTAGTGACCAGCCTCAAACTCTGGCGCCCTTAAGCAAAGAGGGCCTAGCTGGCTTTGGCAGGTCCTTGCGTTGGATCCTGTCCTGCTTCCGCCTCTTTTCAGTACCAGGTCCGCCTCGCGAGTGTCATTGAGCTTGGGATCAGGTCTACAGTGCAAAAAAGGGGCCTTAATCATTAGAATAGGGCTTTACGGCCCATGAAACTATACTGACTATATACTTATAATAAGGAACCCCCCAAAAACACTATAGGTAATTATTAAGGCCCGTATTTTCAACTTAACTTAAACTCTAATCATCGACCCGGGCCCAAGATAGCAGGCGGTTCTGCCGAAGCAGGGCTTCTCCGGCCTTTGCCAAGCGCCGAAGACCTCTTCTGACCCTCTTCCTGCGCTTTGATGATGTCCTGCCCGACTTCGGCACAAGAGCTTGGGCTTGCACCTTTCAAGCTTGGAGAGCTACTCTTAAATATACTATAGCATCCCATATATGAGGCCATAACAGTCTCCGGTATCGTAACCTTTAAAATAGTCCTGATAGGAAGCCATATAGTATTAGAGTATCTCGTACAGTAACCCTTCTTGCCTTTAGGAGCCCAAAGCAAGGCCGAGGGTCCTCCAGAGGCCCTAGCAGTAAATTGAAGGCCACGCGGTCCAGAACCTTAGAAAAGCGACAAACCAGAGACTCCAATATCCCTCAATTAAGGAATATAACTTAAATTATAGTAGGATCCCTATTATGATTTAAGGAATTAAGGGATATTGGAGTCTCTGGATTCTCTCGGAACCAGAGGGTGGCGGACCTCCAAGCCTGGCACGGGCAAACCCCTCGTGCTAGGCTAGACACCCTTCATATATGTCAGGTTCAATTCTTCCCCCACTTTTGCAGATCAGCTCGCTGTCAAGAACAGCCTTCTCTGTCAATCTGGAGCGCCTGGACTACAAAAAGACCCCGAACTCCGAACAGTGAGCCCCTCAGCAAAGCACTTCTCTTCTGTTGCCCAAGGACCAAGACCTTCGCCTCGTTGGACACCACCGTGATGGTGGCTGCACGGGGCCTGGCAGGCTGTTTCGGGCTGGATGTCAAGCTTTAGGTTCCGTAATCATGGGTCTATACAGGGCCAGGGTCCCAGGTTACTCTTGGAGAGCAGTCTGGCAGCCCCAAGCGTTTGGTGCGGAGGTGCTTCTCTCCTACAGTGACAGCACCCGAGCTTCTGTAGACGCGCATGATTACATCTCACTCTCGACCCTGAACAAAAGCAGGCCCGGTGCAGGGGCTTGGCCTCATGCTTACGTTGCCTATGTACCCACACCCCCTGCTCATGCACCCCCACGCATGCCCTTGCCGATTGCAAGATCCTTGAAGGCTGAACCACTGATAGTCTTGTAGACTCGACGGGGTTTGGAGAGCACGAGCTGCTCTCTCTGATCCAGAAAAAAACTCAGCACATGCAGTTCATCCTGTTGCATCAAACGAGGCTCTTAGGAGAATCCGCTTACTTCTCTCTTTAAGCAACGGATGGTGAAGCTAACCCGGAACACTTAAGTCTGACGTAGGTAAAGGAGCCCCAGACATCCGCGCTTGTGATGCTTGAACCATCCGAGACAAGGGGAAACAGCAGAAAAGGAGAGAGGAACCGAGTGAGAGCGAGAGACACACAGACAGAGAGCATGAGTGCAGTATGTACTCCTTTTCGGACTCATCAACTCAACACTCTATGGTCATGACCACTATAGCAAGCAGGCCGGCCACACTCGTTGCTCATCAAAGCCCTCTCGCCGAAGAAATGGGCTGCTTTCGTCGTCCTGAGGTGTCTTGTCACGAATTAGCCAGCAGATGATGGCTGTCGCTGCCTTCTCGCTGTGTTCCTATGATCCAGAAGTCAGCTGGTAAATCGAAAGCGTCAGTGAAACCTCTGCTCCGTTGTTCGCAGGTTGGCTCATGTCAAGAGTCAAGAAGCCGCCCGTCGATTTCTGTGATGTAAGAGCTTCCGCAACCACGGAACAACTCCGCAACATGTCGACAGCACCCGGACATGCCGCGAGCCCACTTCGTCCTCGAATGCCCCTGAACATCCCTCAAGCTTTGGAGAACCAGCGTAAGATCAAGCCCAATCACTCCAAGTTGCGCGGAAGCCTTCAGCTTGTTCTGCTTTTGTGCATCTTTGGTCACCTGGACCTGATGCACGCTCAGCTCTTCCGGCTTATATAGTGTTCGTCAAGCTTGAGGCTGAAGCCTTCGTCTCAGTGTAGCTCCCCTTCCGTCCACTACAAGTACTACAGAGTCCCAGAGCTTGTAGGATTTGGACATGAAGGGCTGGCGGGTGCGCCGTTCTAGCAGCCTGGGCATCTAAATGGGTTTGAGGTGCAACGGAATCCATGGTTTCAACATCATAGTAGAACTATTTCTTGCTGGGTTGGGTCAAGCAACGGTGCTGCCGTCTTGGGTTGCAGGAATGATGAGGAACACATGCAGCATTAGCTTGCTTCGGCATCTCAGCTTCGTCGATTCGACACAAGCTTTTTCGCCTGACGCGCCGGGCCTGTTGACTCTAGCAGAAGTCCTGCGCCCAGTCCCTTTGCTTCAGCTGATCATATACGGAAACGGGACGAGAAAGCGGTGCCTCCTGTGTAATCGTGTCCGGATCAGGCTGCAAGACTCGCACAGACGGGGGGTACGGCTTTGGCTTTGCTTTTTCGAGCTCTGGAGCTGACTCCTTGGCCCTGGCGGCGGTCGTTCCCAAAGGCCGCCGCAGGTGCCGGCGCTGCGGGGCAGTGGCGGCCGGGGCCTGCGGTGCCGCGGCAGGCCGACCACGACCACGGTTTTCCAGCACTTCCTCCAGCGTGGGCTTTGGCAGGTCCGTCGGCTGTCGTGGTGGTATCACCAACTGCCGATCGATGTCATGGGAACAATCTTTGCAGACTTCCATAACCTTGCGTATGCTGAAAGAAGCTCTCATGCGAACGCGAGGGAAGGACTTCTGAAATTGCCGAAGAGCTCCCATGCACGAAAGACAAGGAATCTCACTGACGTCGAAGCGCAATGTAGCCTCACTGCCAGCACCAGCAGGGCTTCTCAAGAGCCGGTCTGCGGCTTTGTTCAACACTTGAAACTCTGCGTCGTTGGAACGTGGGTGCTCGACGACGCACGCCACAAACCTGATGGGCTCATCCATAGCTGTTCCGCTTGCCACAACTCTTGCGTCTGTCTGCTCACCGGGACCACTGGAAAGTGTCCACGCGCAGGTCGTTTTGTGCTTCATTGTCGCATCTGTCGGATCAGCTTCGTACGCGGCCTGGATACCTTTCAGCAACCAGTCTTCGCGCAACTGCCGCAGCGGTCGGCACATCTCCAGATTCTCCTCCAGCATGTTGAACTTGCGCAACATCTCGCATGTCAGTCTCCGACCAAGCTGAATGGTCTTGAAGCCTGTAACTCTGTGCTGATATCTCTCGGATTCCACTTGGCTGCAGTTGATCGACGGGATGTTGTCGAAGTCCTGAAAAAATTCCAAAACCTCATGATACGGCTGACGCCCGATTGCATCGCATTGGTCGAAGATCTCATGCGGAACGTGGCAGCCCCACTCGCTGCAAACTGCATCCGAGAGCAGCACAGCATCGCCAGGCTCTTCAAAGACCTCGTCTCCTCGTGTGAGGGTCTCGTGCGCGATGCCCCGAGCGACACCAGGTGGTACATTCAAGCCAAAACGCACGAACGCCCAGGCAATGTTACACAGACCTGTAATTGTAAACTCTGGAATCATAAGCTCTGCCTTCTCCATCAGCATACGGAATATGTTGTCGTCCCGATGAGATAAGGTGACCATGGCCCAGGATACGTTGGCCACGTCCCGGGAGGCAAATTGGGAAATCTTCAAACGCACGGCTCGTCGCAGCTTCAGCAATGCATCTTCGTGGGACCACGCGAGCACTGCAAAGCTGTACAGTAAGGTGGAGATGTCTGGCGGCGTCAGATGGTCCATGGGGCGACGTATGATCTCCTCGCTGATACATGTTAAAGCTTTGATATCTCGGTACTCTATGGCGGAGAGGCCCCATATCACATTGGACAATCCCTGTGGGGAGAACCATTCAATCTGGCGCATCACCTCCCAGTTGATCGCACGCATGTGCTCGTTTCGCTTGTGCTTCAGTGTGCCGTATGCCCACAAAGTGTTCGAGAGGTCCTGCGGCACGCAATCTCTGGATCGTTTTGTCATTTCCCCACCACTCTCCTCCATCCAATCCTCACAGAGAATGGCCAGTGTAGCCAGCCCCCAGGTGAAGTTGGAGAGCTCCTGGGTGCCAAACTCAGCTGCCCGAGTCGCTGCAAAGCTGGCAATGCTCCGCATTGCAGCCTCGTCCTTATACAGAACGGTCGCACAGGCCCAGATCAAGTTGGACATGTTCTGGGGCTGGAATCTCCAGAGCTGGACCAACGACTCGGCTAGAATCGCACGAAAAAGTGCATCACAGGGCTTCTGCAAGCGTGCAAAGGCCCAGCAGGTGTTCGACAAATCTTGGGGGCTGTAGTCCCGGATGTTTGCTGCTACATGCGCTGGAACGAGATCCAGCAGTTCGTCGTGCGGATATCCGACCGTGCCCAAGGCCCAAACAGAGTTGGAGACGTTCTGCGGCAAGAACATGGCAAGCCTTGCTGCTGCGTACTTGCAGAGTAAGCAAAGTATCCGCTCTTGCCGGAAGAGCAGTACAGCGAAGGCCCAGAGAGCATTGGCAATTTGCTGGGCTCGGCATTTTGCAGCGAAGTGCTCTGTCAGCTCGAGCAAGCACAAGAAGCCCGCGTGGCGATGAACCATGTCCAACGGGGTTCGGCCGGCATCGTCCTCGCGATAGAGCTTTGCGGCACGGTGCAAGGAGGTAACCGCATTGATTTCGTCCATGACCTCGTGGCGCTGAAGTGCGTGCTGCAGCACGGCTTGCCAGGTTGCTTGGCCCATGATCTCTTCGTTGACCGGGACAGTCAGCAGCCCCATGGTAATGGCAAGGATGGGAAGGATGGCCCATGGCACAGCGGGTCTGGTCTTAAGACCTCCGGGCTAGTCGGAGCCCGCTTTCAGGAAGTGATTTGTTCAGTACTATGGTGCCGACTATTCACCACCATCATTGTCTGGAGGTGATTTGAATGATCCCAACTAATGCTTACACGTCGACCTCCGGATCCTCCCTCCATTTTCTTCGGAAGTGAACATCTACGGCCGCAGATGAAGATTCGAGTGGGTGCTAATAACTAGAACTCACATTGCCTTGTATGAGGTCAACAGCAAACAGCAGACCGTCCACGTCATATAAACCAGAACTGCGTGCGAAACAACCCTGTCATCGGAAGGCTATGATGGTGGTGCAGTTGCCTTTTCCTAGCTGCTATTACATGCCGTGCGATTCCTCGCAGCACTGGAAGAAGTCGAGTAAAGAAGAAGGTGAGTGTTCTGTCGTGTCTACATGCATTTGATGGAAGTGGGACAAAGGAACCTTAAGACAGTTGTTATCGGCTTCGACGCCACCACCTATCTGCACAAACTGACATTGTAGTATCATTAATGGTTGTGGCCCTAGCATTCAGATCGTGGTAAAGGGCTTCATGCCTGGACCATCTTGGCCCTGTATGACCGAAGAAGCTTTCATGACTAAGACACTTGCGAAGGCGTTTGCGTGCCGAGCGACTTCACCATCATACAGGATGTAGAACGTGCCTGAGCGGGATTCAGGGTGTGATCTTTGAGTCGGAAGCGCTTTGGTGAATTGCATCTGTTCACAGTCCCTGCGTACTTATAACGATATAATATACCCCCCCGCCCCCCCCCCCCCTCCCCCAACCAACCGTCTGAAAAAAAGGATGCTCTGACAAACAATTCAGGCCCCTGAAGCAGGGGTTGTGGTGGCGTGGCATGTCGGACATTTAACTGCTGCGCTCTCCCGACCCTCGTGCCGTCTTCCCTGAAACAGTGCCTCGAGCGACTGATAAACGCTTGATAAAGGCACAGAAACAAGGGTCACGACAATGGTCAAAATCGTAGAGGCACGATCAATGAACCTGCATGTCAGCACTGTCGCTTTAGAGCACCCAGGAACACTGTGCAGTCGTTACATGAGTGCCATGAGTTGCGTCCTCTACAACTGTCTCCACATCAAGTGTATCCGCAAACTTTAGCTTTGTGGAATGCAGACATGTGGAGTGCGGCGCGTACCCGCGCGTGTAGTTTCAGCCACTTTGGGCACTTTTTTGGGGTTGGGGGGGTGGGTGGGGGGGATAATTACCTGCTTTTGGACTTCTGCAAGCCCGAAATGCCCAAGCTCGGTTTCAGGTTGATGGTTTAGGGTTTCGGGCTCAGGGTGAGTGGATGCTGCTTGCAAGTTCGACTCTCGATAACCCTGAAGCCCACGCCTGACTTCAAGCTGAGCACAACTTGGGTTCAGTGCTCCACTTCTGCACTCTTCTGCGTGCCCGACGGGGCTTGGAGCGTGTCAAACCTCAACCCTAAACCGTCAACCCTGAACTCTAAACCATAGACCCCTGAAGCTTCTACACCCTCCTGGAACACAACCTGGTTTCAGTGCTCCACTTCTGTACTCTGAAGCATGCCCGACCGACGGGGCTGCGAGCTTGCCAGACGACGAAAAGGCCACTTTCCGTAACAACCACTTGCGAGCAAGTACTCAAACAGCCTGCCCCCCAATGCAGGAAAAATCGCCCGATGTGCTGAAAACCCATCCCTGCCGATGTTTTCTGCACGTCCATCACCCATTTCAATGCGAGCAAGTAGTCAAATAGCCTCCCCCCTTAAATAGGCATGCGTTGCCCGATGTGCTGAAAAACCCACCCCTGCCGATGTTTTCTGCACGTCCATCACCCATTTCAATGCGAGCAAGTAGTCAAATAGCCTCCCCCCCCTAAAATCGGCATGAGTTGCCCGATGTGCTGAAGACCCACCCCTGCCGATGTTTTCTGCACGTCCGTTGTTGAGAACATGCCTTTTGTACCACGCGCGGGAATCAACCGCGAACCTAGAAGGAGGCAAAAACTGTTGGACCGCCGAACGGTTCGCAATTTTGATAACCTTTGGGCGATTCAACGCTCGCGAGACTTATTGAAGGCGACCCGTGCCAACCGGCCCTCTTGCTCTCCAAAAACCTGAACTGGTAGCGACGGCCCTGCATCATAACCAGCCCATGAGCCCAACATAGCCCAAGTTTCAACTCAACCTCCAAACCATTAGATAAAACTTGCAACTCAGATGTCCGATATTTGCCGGCTCAGTTGCTGCCCGGCTCCCCTTGCTGCAAGATGACTTCGCCTGTCCGCAGAAAGGAACTAATCTGGCAATCTGGCAGCCAAGTCCGCACGAGACAGATTTCGCTAAGTCGTGCACAATGCCCAAGTTTTTCGGATCACACACCAAGGCGCTTGATTGCCGACACCGCGTGGCTTCAATGACTACGATGGTTGATAATGAAAAACAAGGATTGTAATCGTCGACATTGTTACCTTATGCTGCCAAAGTGAATACCCACTCTCTAAACTTAAGATGGCGAGTCTGGAATATGTGCTCACACGCAACATACAAAAAAGGCAAAACTGCCCCACGAAGAGAGACAGAGGGAGAGGGAGCGAGAGAGAGAGAGAGAGAGAGCCAGCCACAGAGAGGGAGAGAGGGACCCCTGGGCACCGCAGGTAAGCAGGCACACATAGACGTACGACAGGTAAGAAATGCGAGCCAGGATGAACATGGAATGCACTTGCTTCATCTAAATCTAGCTCTCCGTAGCGAAACAACAAACCGAATCACAGGTCAGAGCCCATGTAACAGCCACAGGTGCAAGTAGTCCGCCACGATATCGAGAATCGTATCCAAGCTCGCACAACAGACAATCTTGAGGACTTCTCTCTATCTCTCTATCTCTATATATATACATATATATATATATATATATCTCTCTCTCTCTCTCTCCCTCTCTCTCCTCCACCTGACCGCAAGGCAAGTTTGCTAACAATGATCCAGCCTTTGGCGAAATGCATCTCCACCAATGCTTGGGCGAGCGCTCTCCTCCACTCCGGGTTCGCAAATGGACTTAATGCATACGTCTCTAGGCCCTTAACGTAAAACAAAGACAATCGCAAGGGTGGGCGTGCTTACCTGGGCCACTCTGAACTATTTCGGGGGGATTGCAGACAGATCTCATGCACTCTCCCGAGATCTTAAGGTTTGGGCTGACTGAAGGGGGACACGATGATGTGCATTATGAAGCTTCGTCTGCTCGCCATGGTGAGCACGTGTGGACGTGGTGATGATGATGAAGAGCAGGGTCATGATCAAGATGTGCTATGACTGTGACTGCTGCGACGACAACGTGGTGCTATGTGTGAACCCAGTGACCCTTTGCCTCTTGAAGCAAGGTACCTTCGTTCGAAAAGCACTCCCCTCCGGAAGGACCCCATGTGCAGACAAGGATCTTCTCTTCTGACAGCAGTGCCTCGAGGATGCTCACCCGATCGAGATACATCATGTACCTCAACGTCTTGGACTTTGGGATTTTTCAGGGCATCATGTGCCTCGGCACCTTCACTACACGTCATCACTCTCTGGAACACAAAATAGCAGGATGCCCTGCGTCAAACCCTGACAGCCGAAAAATGCTAGTTCTAGTGTTGGTCGGGACAATCCTGGCAGTCTCATGCGCTCTGCTGCGAGAAACTTCGAAACAGAAAGACCTACCTCCCTGCAAATCTTAGCATCCCGGGTAACTCGGAGATCTTGTCGTCAGACACTTTCATCAAGATGGTCTTGAAGCTGATCCCTCGGCAGTTTGCACTGCAGGGCCGTGGTCGACATCAAGATATCTTTCAGCCTCAGCCTGAGCTCTGCTACATGGTCGTCACATCCGGATCTCCAGGCTTCTACTGGTGCTCAGGCCGTGGCGGTCGATCACCCACAGTGTACCAGGCGCCTGCGACATGTATGTGAGCTCACCGAGATTCAAGTGTTCTTAACCCGGGCAGACGCCTGCGACCTAGAGCCAACATCTTCTGTCTTCAAGCCGAACCAGACAATCCTCATCAGCACTCCTTGAAACCTGCAATCCCTGGTAATAACCCTTTAGCAACACTGGCAGCACAGAAACCTGGCTCCTTTCAAGTGTCCACAAATTTGAGGGGTGTGGCTTGACATATTTGCAGATCGGTTATACTGCTTGGGGGCATTTGGGCCAGTCTTCGCCTTGTAGTTTGGCTCAGGACTTGGCAGATGCTTCAGAATTCAGAGCTTTCCGTCTGTCTCTCTCTCTCCGTGTCTCTCTGTGCTTGTCTCAGTCCCTCCGTCACTCTGTCTCTGTCTCTCTATCGCTCTCTCTGGATTTCTCGCTCTCTCTCTCTCTCTCTCTCTCGCGCTCTCGCTCTGTCTCTCGCCTCTATCTCTCTTTCTCTCTCTCTCTCTCTCTCTCTTTCGTTCTTTCTCTCTTTGCTTTGCTTTGCTCGGGGTTTGAGGCAGGAGCAGTCCTCTCTCTCTCTCTCTCTCTGTCTCTCTCTTGTTCTTGCACTCTCTCTCTCTCTCTCTTCTTCTTCTTCTTCCTCAGGGCATTGGGGACTGGTCAGGTCTCCCGGTCACCAAACCCCCCAGTTTCTGGGGCATGAACTGGCCGTGAGATCGCTGCGTGTCCCCCCTGTTTGGGCAGAGCAGGATATTTCGGCATACATAAACAAGGGAAATCTCTCTCTCTCTCTCTCTCTCTCTCTCTTTCTTTCTCTCTCTCTCTCTCTCTCTCTCTCTCTCTCTCTCTCTTTCTCTTTCTCTCTCTCTCTCTCTCTCTCTCTCTCTCTCTCTCTCTCTCTCTCTCTCTCTCTCTCTCTCTCTCTCTCTCTCTCTCTCTCTCTCTCCCTCTTTCTCTCTCTCTCTCTCTCTCTCTCTCTCTCTCTCTCTGTCTCTCTCTCTCTCTCTCTGTCTCTCTGTCTCTCGCTCGCTCTCTCTCCCTCACTGCAAACACACAGGCTTACATATAAAAGTAAGTAAATAACAATATGTATATCTATATATATATATATATAAGACTGCATACATACATATGTACATAGTATGTGTGTACGTATGTGTATATGTATATATACACAGATAGATTTTTATCTTTAGCTACTTATGTGTTTTCTGCATTTTTGTACAGTATTCATTTCAATATAGTGTCTACGTGTGCGGGTGTGTGCGCGCGTGTGTATGGCGTCCGAAAATAGGGGACCCTAATATAGTACCCTAAAAAAAGTAGGATCCTTATTATAAGGACCCCAATATAAGATACCCCTGATGTTCGGAAACTCCCATATTGGGAGGCTCGCCTTTGCGGTCACTGTTGCCGCCCGGGGAGTCAAGTAAAGCCTCGGCCACTGTGGGTGTGCTCGGAAAACTGAATCAGAGCGTTAAACCGAAGAAGTGAGGCTCCACAGCATGAAGCGGCTACTACTACTGCTGTTGCTGCTGCTGCTACTACTACTACTACTACGACTACTACGACTACTACTACTACTACTACTACTACTACTACTACCTCCTACTACTACTAATAAAGTTTAAAAGAGCCTCAATAGACCAGGGTTTGGGGTACAAGTATGATAGGGTGTAGTGCAGTACACTTGAAACACAAGCTCTGGCATACAAGATGGTACTCGGGTTCAACCGCTGGTGCAAACCTCCCAAAACTGTCCAGTGCTCACTTAGTTCCAATTGCTAATCTTCTAGATATTATGGACATATCCTTGCGCTCCATGCGCATGAGTGCATGAAGATGCATCCCCAGTGCGCATGGCTTCGCCATAGGAAGTCATGGGTTGACTCGTGCAGCACCTCTGGTGGAATGGAATGCTCCCGTTGCGGTGATAAGACTTTGTATAATTCAAAGTTTCGGCAGTGTGCTCGAACCGAGGTCACAGCAGATCCGAGAGTGCTTTCAAGGAAGTTGACTCGTAACAACTACCGGAGCACCAACATGTACAGATGATATGCAACAAAAATATGGAGCCCGGCGCTGCCGCGACATTCTTTGGCATAGGGTTGACTGCTTTCTCCAAGATCACATAGCCCAGGGCTCCAGTTACCTACGTAATGGGCTACTGGGCTCTAATTATATGGTCCTAAACCCTAAACCCTCAACCCTTAAACCCTAAACTATAGTAGCCTTCTATTTCGGTAACTGGAGCCCTCGGGATAGCCATGATTTCTGAGCCCAGCGACAGCGCCAGCTCACCGAAGCTTCCGCCCTGGAGCCGAGGCGGGGGCGGGGTTCGGGAAAACTTATATAGGGCCCGTATAAGATCCCCTTATATATACATAGATATATGTATATATATATATATATACATATATATATATATACATATATATATATATATATATATATTGATTCCCAATAATAGGGCCTCAAAAAAGCACATAAGCAAAAATTTGTATTGGGCCCCCTATAAATGCCCCTTATATTGAAGCCCAATAATAGGGCCCCCAAAAAGCACATGAGCAAAAATATGGATAGGGATATCCCACATAAACCCGCTTATAACGAAGCCCAAAAGGGTAGGGATATCCCTCTAAAATGCTTATGCCTTATGCTTATGTCCTTTTTGGGGGTCTCTGATTGTAGGGCTTCGGGCCCGGAAGACCAGTCTGTCACGCGCGGTTTAAGGCCTCACAGCTTACAGTCTTATGTTTTTCAGACGAGTGCTTATGTTGGGCTTCGTGCCGGGCTAAGAGGGAGCAACTTGAAAGTCAGCGTGCAACGAACGTCCAAGCAACGAATGCCAGACTGCCCAGTATCATTAGGAAAGAACGATGAAGGATGCTGACGATCTTGCAGACAGCTCGAAGGCAACCTCAGCCCCCATGTTCATGCCGAAAATAACTCACGGGCCTCCAAACCTCCAACCCGACTAGACTCCGACAAGAAGCTATCTGGACCTTCATTGACACAAAGTACAGCTGTAGCACGAAACCCAAACACGGAGACCCAAACACGAAATCCTACAGCCAAGCAGGCTACACCCGAAACCATCAAAGCTGAAGGGATGCTGCAGGGCCTACATGGCCGTGGATCCCATTAGCATCTTTATTTTGTTGGTATCGTGTTCAACTTTATTTGGTGTTTGTCATCATCTGCCCTGTTTGCAGTTCTGATAATGCGTTGTCGTTGTTGTTGGTGTTGCTGCTGCCGCTCTTGCTGTTGCTGCTTTTTGCTGATGATGCTGTGTATTGCTGTTGCCGTTCTGATTGTTATCGCGACCCTGCTCAGCCTTCGAGATGCTGCCAACCTTGCTGCTCAGCTTTCCTTTGGCCTTCCATTGTGACCAGGCGAAGCAGCATAAAACAATAGACGAAATCGACTCACAAAAACTACTACAACTAACAACACTCACCACTACAACCACCGTCGAGAAGGCAACGTGCACGAAGCAAGAGTTCAAGTGTACTACTCGGAATACGTCAGGCTTCGGGTGTCATGATCTTGGCCACGTAGCATACTCCTGTTATCCAGCAGGTAACTACGCGACTTTACGGTCTGTCGGGCTTAGAGCGCGCTGTACGAGGCTACGGAACATGATGTGGGACAACGAGTAAGCAGCAAAATGCTGCCAGGCCCCTTCATGTTGCGAGGAGTTGAGGTTTAAGGGCTTGGGCTTGTGATATGGTTTAGGACGGCTCTTGCCTTCCCCGTGCTACAACCATGATCGATACCATGACTAGCACCTCCGCGCACGGCAATCTTTCATCGAAGGTCCTTCTCAAACTCGAACGCCTTGCAAGATGGGAGTTTCTGAAAATAGGGGACCCTAATATAGTACCCTAAATAGTAGGATCCTGATTATAGGGACCCCTAAATAAGGTGCCCCTAATTTTCGGAAACTCCCAGATTTCGTGCAACTGCTAGGAGCCTCGTCTTCGACAGTGACCTCGAAGGTTCCTTCCTGTACCTGGGCGACTAATTGTGTACAAGAGCCTGAAACTGCTGGTCGGGAACAGGACAGGGGGTTCCGTTTAAAGGGGTCTATAAGGATTAATATGAGGGGCATTTTCGGGGTTTAGTATGGGGGCCTCAAGGGTGTATCTTCTGCCAATTTTTGCGGGTTTGTCGTTGCCTGTTGCCTTACATGCGCAGCCAGTTTTACCCGGATTCCTAGTCATCTGCCCTCTCTCCTCTATCAGAACTGAGGGCCTCAACCTTGCAGATGAGATCTGAGAGTCTGCTGTCGAAACTATGCTGCCGACGCCTTGGCCCAAAACCGAAACTCATCGCAACTCAGCTGAGCTCCGCGCAATGTAGAAGAAATCAGCTTCGAGGTCACCCTCCTGGCTTTCTGTTGCACAGCATTAAGGGCCCGGAACCGAAATCCAGACTTTTCGGAGCTTGGGGTCGAGGCTTCCACTCAAAGCCATATCGGAACGTCGATGCTAGCTCCTTCAATTGCTTTTGTTGCCACGTGCTGTACTACCAGTTACTTTCTGCCGTAGACTAAACAAAGCGGCCAGGCCTTGATGACGACCTGATCTTCCTGGACCTCCTCTTTCCACGCCACATCGACGATATCCTGCACCATAAATCACCCTATATGATGCAGGTAGGTTGGTCGATGTAGGCATATAGGCTTCACCCTGGCAGGCAGCCAGGCAGACATGTAGGCGTACATACCTGTATATCTGCCTTTCGTATCCGCATACATGTTCGTTTGGTTGTTTGATGCTTATATGCGTGCATGTATGTGTAAATATACATGTGTAGGTGTGTGTATATTTGTATACACACATACATGCATGTGCATATGTCCGTGTATAAATAAATATATATATATATATATATATATATATATATATATATATAATCTGAACATGCCCTCAATCCGAATACTGTACATGCCTAGTCGAGCATGATCTGTGTGCGTGTTCTTGGTCTTTGAATCACGCTTTGCAATCTGCACACACGAATTGACATCACCGCTCCTGTCAGTTATACTCAGACACACACACACACAGAGACACACACACAAACACACACACACACACACACACACACACACACACACACACACACACACACACACACGCCTATGTTCTGTTAACCATGGATGCAGCTACTCGGCAGTGTCTTATTGCCTCGGTTTGACTTTGCCAGCGCTTAGGCTTTAAGATGCCAGAAGGAGTCAGACAAACCCTAAACCCCTGTAAACCCTAGATAACCAGCGGATTGCGAGCCAGGGCTTGTCCTTCACACGCTGGTCATCTAAGACGACCATCGAGTTCCTAAGTATACACCAGAGAATGGGGCTTGGGGGGGATGTTCTAGTTTATCTATAATAAGGAATCCGAAAATACCTTAACATAATGTTGTAGTATAGTTATGATAAGAAACCTACTCGTAATTTTTCCGTAGCCACCAGCACCGTCTTCAGTCCAAGGCGACAGAGTGTCCAGACTTTCGACTTTCGACATCACAATGTAAGGCGATGGAATGTTTCTTAGCCTTTGAAAGGGGTAAGATTTTCGTCTTGTTTTGGTCTACGGAGCTGGGATGTGTCAAGGGGTCGGGACTCGGGTAGCTCTCTAATTTAGGGTTCCTTCCCGGTACTCGTTATCAGGGTGCCGTACTGCTTTGGGGACCTAACTAGACAGGGACCTCAACTGAAAGAACTAATCTAGGGGCCTTAATAATTAGAATAGGGTTTCGGGGTCCATTATACTATGTAGGATTATAAATAGGAACCACCAAAATAGTATTAGTAATTACTGAGGCCCCTACATTACCCATTGTTGCCGTCGAGCTGCAAGCTTTCATTGCTTAGCAATGCCCTCCTCATCAATTCTTTCTCGTCGTCGTCCTTTTCCTTGGACTGCCATTAGGGACTAAAGGGCGGGGGAGCCTAGAGTCTCCATGTAGCAACCTGCTCCTAATATACGGGCCTTAATACTTAGAATAGTGTTTTGGGGCCATTTTACTCTAAACACAGTTACTTAAGCCCCTGTGGTACTTCGGGCTCTTTGGAGCTCCGGTGCATCACCCTCTACTTTCAGTCACTGGCTTCACTCGGGAGCATGCAGGTAGTGGACTTGGCGGGAGATGGAGATCAGCACAGGCTCAAAGCATAGGTTGGACCATGGTACTGCGGGGGCCTCTACAGTCAGATAAGGGTTTTGGGGGCCATTATAATACCACAGTTATGGCATAAATATAAGAAGGAACTCCAAGATAGTATTGGCAATTATTTAGGCCCCTATGGTAGGCTCCCTCCGTGGGGGCGTCAAGCTGAACGAAGAAAACTCATGAGCTTGATCTTCTGGAAAGGCCAAGAGCAGGCACTATAAACCCTAAACCCTATGTGTAGAGACACCAGACGCCCCCCAGCATAGGCACCCTGAACCCCACCAACCCTGAACCTTTGATGCAGGTTCCAAGCCCTAAACCCACAGACTCCAATATCCCTTAGTTAAGGATTATACTTTTCCTTAAAACATCTGAGGGATCCTACTATAACTTAAGCTATATTATACACCTTAATTAAGGGATATTCCCTAAATCATATGAGGGTTCCTACTATAACTTAAGGTATCTTTCTTAATTCAGGGATCTTAGAATCCCCTAAACCCTAAACCCCCCTGACCCCTCAAAGGAACCCTAGTTATTCCTTAGCCTTAGTTAAAGGATATGGGAGTCTCTAGGAACCCAGGGGACCCCTAGGGACCTGGGATCCTTGAGCCCCAGGGGCGGCTCTCTCCTTCTTCTCCACCGGCGCCGTCTTGCCAGCACCGACGGCCTGAGACCAAGAGGCTCCAAGTTGCTGAGTTCGTTGAATATAGGGGCCTTAGTAGTTAGAATAGGGTTTTGGGGCCAATTATATTGGAATAGGGTTTTGGGGCCAATTATATTAGAATAGGGTTTTGGGGCCAATTAAATTATACTTGTTATACGGAACCCCCAAAATGGTATTGGTAATCATTAAAGCCCCTATATTAGGGTTTGGGGGGTTTCGTGGATCCGCCGGTGAAGTTGAAGGATTGAAGCTTTTGGGTTTTGAGTTTACGGGGTTAGTGTTCAGTGCTTCGGATCTGGATGTTTCGGGGCAGGCTGAAGGCTTTCAAGCTGCAGGATTGAGGCATACAGCGACCTCCCAGGAAAAAACATAAAACTTCGGCTCAACAAACTCTCTGCAGTGCATCGAGGAACACCAGACTCTATCTACCTTGGGCAGCATCGGGATCCAGGCTAGAGTCTTTAACCTTGCCTGCCACTGTCAAATCCTGGGCTTCATGGGCGTGCACATGTTGCGATGGATCACGATCAGACCTTCACAATTCCATTCAGACTGCTTCGCCACACAGAACATACTCTTCTAGTATCGCACTAGTATTGATAATGGCATTAATAAAAAAAACGAATGATCAAAACAGTAGATTAATACGAACATGTATACTCACCTTAATACATTTACATTAACATATAATACACAAAGATAGCTAATCTTTACACTACAGGTCCCTACAGGCCTTGTGGATTGCCACAGGACAAAGCCATACTTCGATTTCGAGCTTCCGCAGCTCAGGTCCCGTTTCGATATGGGAAGCTCTTTAAAGATTGAAAACAAGGAGTTTAGGGCTTATGGCTGCGAGTTTCGACGAGTTTAGGGTTTCGAGTTTCGTTTAGGGTTTGGGGTTTAGGGCTTCGGGCCTCTCTTGGGGCAAAGGAAACTTGGGGTCACTGTCTCGAGACATGCCATACAGGACGAAGATGCACCGGGGGCTTACAGGGTTCTACGTTCAAGCTGGATTTATATACCGGCTTGGCTTCAGAGGTTTGGGGCTCGGGATGTAGATCCTTGAGAATCAGGGACAGGAACAAATTTAACCAGGTGTGGCACCCCAACTCAAGCTGGAGCCCCTTCAATACCGGAAAAAGGCTTCGGGTGCCTTGCGATTGGCGAAATGCAGCTTCTCGTGCAACCCGAGCTCGCGGAACTTCTCTCTGGTCAACTTGAGGGTACCTGTGGCACAGACCCTTCGAGAGACACGAAACCCAGAGAAGCGAACATCAAAGCAGCGTACACCCTGAACCGGCAAACATCCTAAACCCTACAAGCCGTGACCACATAAAACTATGCGCGAAGGACTCTTTAACGCCAGAGTAAGGAACCTCTCAAACACGAACAGATCGTCCAAACCTTTGAACCACCCGCCCGAAACTTCCGATCCGCATGCCCTACAATCCTTTCCAAATCCGACAACCCCACTCCGAAGCTAACATCTGTAAAGCCTCACACAAGCCCCAGCTACGCCGAGCGCCTCTTGCGAAGCCAACATCGCTGATCTATATGGGTACGTGAACCCTGCAAACCCTATATAGCAAAGCACTACTCGTAATGAAACCCTCTAAAAATTCCAGGACCCCCCAAGTGCCCTTTAAAGGGCTCTGATATTTCTCCTTAAGAGGTAATTTGGGGCTATAAGAAAGGGTTGTTGGGGGGTCTAGGTTGGGGCCATACACTATAATTATAACCCTGAAAATTTCAAACACCTATCAAAAAAGGGTCCCAGGCGCTCAAGTTCGTGGCGGCGGTGATTGTCGCGGTCCGCGGCTCATCTCGGAGTAGCGCCTTGGAGTTTCATGGGTTCGCGTACTTGCTCAGAAGGTTTGGGGTGTTCATTTAAGGGCTATATAGGGTTTACGGCGTATAACATGTTCTTGAGCCTGCCGGATTCGTTTATTCATAGTGCGGTGGTTTGACGTGTGTTTTCATTGGCTGTGCTGAGATGGAATGACTGACATATGTGGATTTGGGCTCTACAATTTGCAATGCTGTTGTGGTGTTGGCTTTACAGATTTGGATTTCACGGTTTAGAATGGTCATGGGTGCGATGCTTTAACCGTTGAGGCGGAGGTTTGGTATGGGTAAGCGGGTGAACCCCAAACTAACGCGCGCATACTCCTCGCAATCCACACACACTCCTCGAACAACTCTCAACCCTTAGCCCTGACCTCTTATCTACCAATACCCCGACCTTCTGCAGCCAGCTGAAGCACGGTGGACAAAATTGGATACTCCTCAATCTGCTCCCGGTACCCTCGGTCTGGGGAAGCAGACCGCCTCGCCGAAGTAGTCGCCCGAAGTTAGTGTGGCCACCTGCTGGGCCGACTGTTCCTCCTGCCAGGGAGGGAACGGGACGACTCTCAGTGAGTTAAGTCGGAAAGCAGCAACAATCACCAGCACCATGAAATCCACGAGCAGGACCGCTATCTTCGTCAACAGCATCATCACCACCACCACCACCATCATCATCATCATCCAAATCAGCATCATCAGAATCATCATCGTCATCATCATCATCAGCAACACCATCATCATCATCGTCGTAGTCGTGGTCATGAGTGGGCTTTCAGAATATAGGGTGTTGTTATCCGGTGTAGGGGATTAGAGTTCGGCGCCGTTTTTGTGACCGAAAGTTGTCCAAATTGTCTGACCTTCCCGAGGCCAACTTCCAGTGCTTGCGAATGCGCAGCCAACATCCCTTGATTGAGCGGTTGTCAAAGTTATGGTCCCTTTCTGGGTCCCTAATATAATACGGCACCTATTATTTAGGGTACCAAAAAAAGGGACCATAAACTTGATAACCACCCAATTGAGCAGGCAGTCATCGCTGGGCAGTTAAAACCACCTGTGGAAGCCTCTCGGTGGAAGCAACTTGCTTAATTCAACAACATCATACCGCCTTAGTTATACCTGCCCCACTCCCTCCCCTCCTACCTCCCTTCCGTGACACCCCCCCTTCCTCCCGCCTCCCTGCCTCCTTTCCTCATTCGCTCCCAGCGCTACGAATAGCAGCGCTCTCTCGTCTCATAGGTCCTGGGCGATGGAGACGGTGGCCGTTCCGGACTTGATGACAAAGAACTCCGATCCTGGCTGCTTCATGCTCTAGTAGCATGCAGAACTTGGCAATCAGACCCACTTTACATGGCAAAAAGCAGAACCGCAAACTCTAGTCCAAACCAAACAAAGCTTTCAAGCCCCAAATGCAAATCCAGGCTTATCACGCAAATACGTACTTGAAGCTGCCAGGCTCAAGCCCGTGGCTGCTTTCCACCATCAACAGTGCCGCTTGCCCCAGAACCAGCTCAAGGTATGTAGAGTCCTGGATCACCCTGCGCAATAACGACCTGCAACGGTGCTGACGATCTACTCCAGTGAGTCTACTGAATCTACTGGCTTTCACGATGGAAGCAAACATGTTCAGCTCCCTCGTCCCTCTGCACCGGCTGCAGAGATGGCAGCACCGTCGCTTACGCAAAGAAATTCGCGTCGCTTGCGCAAAGATTTGCCCAGTCGCTTGCGCAAAGACGGGTGTCGAATCCATTGTAAAAACCATAGGAACGTGCACTTCGGTCTTTTTCGGAAATGGCTTCAACAAGCTTGGAAATGTGTCGAATCCATTGTAAAAACCATAGGAAAGTCCACTTCGCAAGTTAGCCGAAAGTGACGGCATTTGCGCGCGAAAGTGCCGAATCCATTGTAAAAACCATAGGAAAGTGCACTTGCCCAGTTGGCAAGTGCTGGCCGAAAAGCGCGTTTTGAGCTGTATTAGGAAACATCTGACAGACCATCGAAAATGCACTTTTGGAGTCTCGAAAAGAATGTTTTCGTTGGTTTCCGGAGAAGCGTTTTCAGAGCATGCTTCGGGGGCCGATAACGTCCGTGTTTGACGCGTGCAACAAGGGCACTCTCAGTGGAACCGTTGAAAACGCACTTTTGGAGGCTCGAAAAGCACGTTTTGGTCGGTCCTGCAGGGGTGGGTGGGGTGGGTGGGGGGGTGGGGTCGGGGCTAATAACGTCCGTGTTTGACGCGTGCAGCAAGGGCACTCTCAGTGGAACCATTGAAAACGCACTTTTGGAGGCTGGAAAAGCACGTTTTGGTCGGTCCTGGAAGGGGTGGGGCTGGGGGGGTGGGGTGGGGGGTGGGGCTAATAACGTCCGTGTTTGACGCGTGCAGCAAAAGAAGCTCGAGACGCACGTTCTGGTTGGTCCTGGGGGCGGGTGGGGGGGTGGGGGGTGGGGTGGGGGCTAATAACGTCTGTGTTTGACGCGTGCAGCAAGAGCGCTCAGTGGCTCGAAAAGCACGTTTTGGTTGGTCCTGGGTGGGGTGGGGCTGGGGGGGCGGGGTGGGGGGGTGGGGTTGGGGCTGGCTTCCTGGCTGGGGTGGGGTGGGGGGGCTCGGGGCCAAGAACGTCAGGTTTGGTTTCATTGCTTCCACGGAAAACGTATTCTTGGAGGCTCGAAACGCACGTTCCGCTTAATTCTCGGGGGGGGGTGGGGGAGTGGGGCTGGGCGCTATCGTCCGTGTTTGGTGCGTGGAGTAAGAGAAGTCGCGTTGGCAGCAGTACGTTCTGGTTGGTCCCATGGGCGGGCGGGTGGGTGGGGGGTGCGGTGGGGGGCTAAGAACGTTGGTAATTGGCGCATGCAGCAAGAGAAGTTGCGTTGGCACCAGCACGTTCTTGTTGGTCCCAGGGGGGAGGGTGGGTGTGGCGTGGGGGGCTAATACCGTTCGTGTTGGACGCGTGCAGCAAGAGCAGTGTCGCTGGCAGCAGCACGTTCTTGTCGGTTCCAGGGGGGGCTAATAAAGTCCGTGTTCGACGTGTTTGACGTGGGGGACTTAGAACCATTTTTTTTCATGTTAGTTCCAGGGGGGGCGGGTGGGGTGGGGGGCTGATAACGTCCGTGTTTTTGTCGCGTGCAGCAAAAGAATTCTCGTTGGCCCCAGCATGCTGAGAACGTCCGTGTTTGACGCTCCCGCGGGAGACGCACTCTTGGAGGCTCGCAATTCACGTTCCGGTTGGTTCTTGCGGGGAGGGTGGGGGGGTGGGGTGGGGGGCTAAGAACGTCCGTGTTTGGCGCGTGGAGCAAGAGAAGTCGCGTTGGCCGCAGTACGTTCTGGTTGGTCCCAGGGGGGGGTTCAAATGCTTGAAAACAGGGGCTAAAGACCGACGCGGGGAAGCCGAATCCTGTGGCCCTGCCAGCACTTTAACAACTTCGGAACCAAAAAGCGCGATTTCCAGCATGCACGCCCAGAGCCGGAAACCATGGCCCTGCCGACGTTTCGTGCACTTTCAGACCTCCCCAACATCGCGAAGTTACAAGTAACGAAGTCCGAATTCATTGGCCCTGCCAACACAAAACGCACCTCCGCGCGTACAAGCGAACGGGCACGCCTTTGCACAAGCGAACGGGCAAATCTTTGCACAAGTGACCGCTCAGCCGCAGAGATGCATGCGGTGTCTGGATGTCATATTTTGCAGTTGCCTGTCCGGCTTTGTAGTTCGTCGGAATCACATTGGCGGCCAAAAGCGGGTGTTGATCCTGGACGCAACACAACCGCAACCACAGAGTCTCACGGAGGGGGGTTGCTAGGACATGCGATGCTAGCTGCACGAGCAGGTATCAGCACCAAAACGATGCAAGCCTCTTTCGTGTCAGCTCGGACAACATAGCTAGGTTTGTCAGCGGCGTAGCTGGAGAACACGTAGGAAAATGCTGCTGGAAACGGAATAAAGAAACATAATCATTGCGATGTTGGTGTGCAACCCGTCCTTGGGCAACCGCTTGAAGAGGTTGACTTTTTGCAAGAAGGACATGTTCTGCTGAAAGCCTCCGTTTATCCAGCAGAGACTCCAGGACTCATGTCTTCAGGTCAACCTCTCCAAATTGTGGGGCGCGCCATTCCATCCCTGTCGTGCAAGCTATCACCGGCTGGCCTGTGTTTTCTTCCTTGTGCCCCTGTCAGAGATGCGAGGCAGCGCAAATCTCAACTACTCGTGTGCGAAAAACCGTGGCTCAAAGGTGCGACTTCAGCCCCAAACCTAAATCCAGGGCCTTCTAACCTCTAAAGTCTTTTGCCAACCCTTTCATATGCCTTGGACCGGACAATGCAAGAAAAGCAAAGGATCCCGGGCCTTCTTCTCGGCTTTCGCCTCCTTTTTGGCGGCATAGTCGTCCTGCTTTGAGCTGCCTCGGTAGGGCTGCGCAGTACTTTAGCAATGAAAACTTTTGGTGTCGCTATCTGCGCCTTCGAGCAAACCCAGTGTCAACATTCATGATCGTGCTGGACCTGTTCATGAAAACTTGACAACGTCTCAGACGAAGTAGGAACACAGAGGGTTCCTGAGATATCCGGTACCTTGGCAGGAGGATCCTAGCACGGAAATACCCGTAGCATGGGCAAACGTCTCCAAAATGGTCCCATAATGCCAACACGCATAAGTTTCGGTGCTGGCAAACAAGGAGCAAGGGTGAAGAAACACCAGAACAATGTTTCTTTGTAGGGTCCCTAGGATATGAAAGAATATGATTATAGTAAGAACCTATGAAGAGGCAGGTTTTGGTAGATTAGTGTATGGTAAACGCATGCACTTCGAAGGTTTCAAGCAAAAGGACTGCCACATAGACGCAGGTCTTCCCACTATTCAATATTATTCGGCGCTTTCCTCTGCAGCAGCATTCTCACCGCCATCGCCCGTATCCTGCAAGATCTCGGCAGAGAAGTCGCCAAGAGTCCCTCGCTCGAAACACCTAAAGACTTGGCTGCTACTGGGCTCTATACATACACCCATAGACCCCATAGTAGTTCCCTTTTGGCAATACCTAGTAGAATTAAAAAATGAAACCCAAGAATAGCAAGCTACTATCGAGGCATCTGGAGCATTAGGGACTAGCAGGCCTTCTTTCTTTCGGGCGGGCTGAAGGTCCGAAGGACGTGCCTGACGCAATTCTGCACAACTAAATTCAAGAGTGAGACAGAGAAGAGGAGTGGTTCCTGCATCCAGCGGCCCGCGGGCCTTAATAATCAGAATGGGGTTTCGGGGTAAATTATGCTATAGTTATAGTGAGGAAACCCAAAATAGTATAGGTAATTATTGAGCGTTCATCGTCTTCCACCACCACGGACAGCAGCAAAACCACCGCGAGAGACCATGATCTGCTGCACATTCCTCAGCTGATCCTGCGCAGCACTGCTGTCACCACCAGTGGCAGCATCACCTCAGGTCATGAGAGATGCGGGAATCCGTCCCCAAGAATGGCAGCAAAAGAGGCGTTAGAGACCTGGATGTGCTGTAGGGTTGATCCTGTGCAGCCCAGCGCTGCTGTCCCCACCATTCCTGGCACAACCCCAATTCACGACAGATCCATCGCTAAGAATGGCAGCAAAAGCAGCGCCAGTGGCTTGGATCTGCTGCACATTCTTCAGCTGATCTTGCACAGGACTGCTGTCCCAACCATTGCTGGTAAAACCTCAGGTCACGACAGATCCATCGCCGAGAATGGCAGCAAAAGCTAACTCAGTGGCTTGGATTTGCTGCACATTCTTCAGTTGATCCTGCACAGCACTGCTGTCCCCACCATTGCTGGCATTACCCCAGGTCACGACAGATCCATCGCCAAGAATGGCAGCAGAAGCATCGTTAGTGGCTTGGATCTGCTGCACATTCTTCAGTTGATCTTGCACAGGACTGCTGTCCCCACCATTGCTGGCAGAACCCCAGGTCACGACGGATCCATCGCCAAGAATGGCAGCGAAAGCATATCCGTTGGCTTGCACCTGGACTTGGTTCATGTGGAACGTTAACCTGTCAGCATTCTGCACTCCGGCTTGCAGGACCGTCACACATGCATCTAAAACTCCTGATGCATCCAGCAGACGCCCCGGTCCGACTCCAAGTGCTGCCTGTGCCCGACTTGTGAAGGTTCCCACATCTTCATCCACGTCTGCTTGGAGAGTCGCAGCCTTGCCGCTGAGCAACGCAACTTCCACGGTAAGCGACATGTTGCTCAACTGCAACAGTATAGAATTCAAACCAGGGTTGCAGAGGCGATGGTTTGGGGAAAGAAACTGTATAATAGAATGAAATGCAACTTAACCAAATATAACATAATATTATACAAGACCAAAAACATAATTTCATATAACATACTATATTATAACATACTGTATTATAACGTATTATATAATAGAACATATTATATTAAAGCACTGAAGACAGGAGCTGGACAGAGGCCTCTTCGGGTGGGAGATGTTTAGCAGCCGGTTTAGGGTTTATTAGGGTTTAGGGATTTATAAGGGTTCCTTTAAAGGGATCCAGAAGGGTACTATAAGGGACCCATTAGGGATTAGACCCATTAGGGATTACGGATTAGGGTTTAGGGTTTAAGGCTTTGGGTTTAGGGCTTAGGTTTGGTTTCGGCTCGAAACCCTGAACCATGAATCCTGATCCCTAAATCTTGAACAGAAAACCCTGCAGCACAAACGAACCCTAAAACCTGGACCCCTAAAGAGCACAACCCGACACTTGAAACTTTCCGTGGGATTAGGCCGGTTAGGGATTAGAGATTACAAGCAGGTTGAGCCGAGAAGGGCGCTGCGGAACGCCGATTTTTAGCACTCTCGGAACCAAGCACATCTAGAATCCACACCCTTATCGCCGGGATGCCAACCCCGTAAGACCAGAGTCCAGATACCCAAACATATCGCCCGGAACACCCCGAAAACCTTTCAAACATCTTCCAAAGGTTAGAAGTTAGAACCCCTATACTACAGCTTAGCAGCCGTACTTGTAAGCCGATTTCAATCCTTATATGCAAGCCATCGAAAACCTAACAAAAATATCGAACCTCCTTCAAAAGTTCCACCAATCACCCGAAACCCGAAATCCCAAACCCAAAACCCAGAACCTTGAAGATCTAAACCCAAGCCCAAAGCTCGAACTCCTGAAACTCTAAATCCTTAACCTTAAGACCCAAAACCCTGAACCCAGATACCTGAAACTCCAAACCCCATAGCCCCATAACCCAAACTCTGCAAAGTCCCACTCAATATTTTTGGCAGACACGCTGAGAATCTCACGACAGCCCATGCTGCAGGCTATCTCCGGCCTGAGAGAATCACGAATGTGTGTGGTATAGTACGAGACTTGTCTTGCGGATTCTTGCATTGGTTGGAGCGGGTATCCCCAAGACTCGTAGTGAAGGCTTTGATGATGAGGCGGCTTGCAAATTCAATTGTTGTCAGTCGATCACTCAGCATATCGATCTCAGATCAGACCCCTGACCCCAGCCTCAGTGCTGACCAGGAGCTCTAACAATGTGATTGTCTGTAGCAATCAAGCAGACGCATCGAAACTACCAGCAATTGCATTCCACAGCGCCCAGCTTTTGCGCTTAAGGTCCAAGGATTTGGCAACGAAGCTTTCGGGGTTCAGGCTTCGATGTCGCATCCACTCTGGGATCCGGGCTTGACCGGAGATGCGTGATGTCGTGTAGAGGCCAGGCTGCAACGCTGCAAATACCAGCCATCGCTGGCTGAACTACCTGTGCCTGCGGAAGATGACAGGGTTTAGGGTTAAGGGTTCTGATAGTTATAGTTGCCAAAATCTTGCCACCAGGGACGTGACAGCCCACACTAACACGGCGGTCCCAGAGCTGCCAGACTGATGCAACTTGCTACATCTGCGTGGTTGTGAAAATTATGGTCTTTTTGGGGTACCCTAAATATTAGGTGCCGTACTATAATAAGGACCCAAAAAGGGACCATAGTTTTGGCAACCACCCATCTAAACCGGCGAGAATCTGACCTTCAGGCAAGCACTCTCCAGACTAATCTTTGAGCCGATGTGCTGAAAACAAGGAGCATGTTGCAGTTGTCAGGAAGGTGAAGGCAGCAATAACAGTTGCAAAGCAAGCAGTCGTCGTGCAATCAGCCGATTTGTCATGGCAATGCATTTCTTGCCGATGAAACATGGGTCACACGCTAAACATGCCTGCCCTTGCTGATCTGTCGCCATGCCGTGGCGGTGGCCGCAGCATGCTGCTCCTCCTCCTTCTGCTCCTGCTCTTCATGTTCCAGTTCCTCCGGCCCCCAGCACGTACTGCCCACGTCCACCATCGCCACCACCACCGATGACCACCGCCGCTACCACTGCTGCTGCTCCTCCGCCTCCTCCTCCTCCACCTACTACTACCACTACTACTACTACTACTACTACTACTACTACAACTACTACAACTACTACAACTACTACAACTACTACAACTACTACAACTACAACAACAACAACTACTACTACAACAACTACTACTACCACCACCACCACTACTACTACTACTACTACTACTACTACTACTACTACTACTACTACTACTACTACTACTACTACTACTACTACTACTACTACTACTACTACTACTACTACTACTACTACTACTACTACTACTACTACTACTACTACTACTACTACTACTACTACTACTACTACTACTACTACTACTACTACTACTACTACTACTACTACTATATGCTGCTGCTACTACTACTACTACAACTACTACTACTACTGCTACTACTACTGCTACTACTGCTACTACTACTACTACTACTACTACTACTACTACTACTACTACTACTGCTGCTGCTGCTGCTGCTGCTGCTGCTGCTACTGCTACTGCTACTGCTACTGCTACTGCTACTACTGCTACTACTGCTACTACTACTACTACTACCACTACTACTGCGACGGCGCCGACGACCAACCACAACAACGATAACAAAAAACAGAGAGAACAAACAGTATTGATCATCCAAAATAGACAGCCAATCATGCTACTACTACCGCCCCATCCCCCTCTGTAGCTGCATCTGATGATAGCCCTATCGACAGCATCTGTGATGAACCACCGGGAATACACACAGCAGCGATCGCATCGCACCGTTTAGACTCTCTGCGGCACAAGTGTGCAAACCTGAGTTGCAAGACAAAGGGTGGGACAAACGCAGCCGGCAGTGAGGCTGGCTGGAGGTTGCAACAGATTTGCCTGTTCATAACAGATCCTCACGGTGAGAAGGTTGAGGGTTTAGGGTTGGTGGCGCCCGTTGGCTAACATGATAGCAAGTGTATCTGCTACTTACGATCGTCTTGCAGGTGCTGAGGCGCAGCTTCCCTTCACATGTCTGTCACACTATGGACTTTTCACTTGCCAGGTTGCAACCTGCAGATGAAGTGACGTGCAGTGTTTGCACGTCAGCTAGTATTTCCAGCATCTAGGTGGTCTGCCATGGTCTGCTTCTCTGTAAAATCGAGCCGACAGTAGCAATGCGGGAGTGGACTGGCCACCGGTCAACATCGGAAGTTGCGCAAGGCAAGCAGCCCTGCCCGAATCGGATATCAGACAGCAGGACAAAATCTCTGGATCATACGAGTAGTGCTGTTCGGCTACTAAGTCAGGTCTCCGTTGGTCTTATCATAGCCGGCCAGGGCTGAAGTCTCGAAGGAGCGGGACTGGCCCACGATCTGGAGGGAACAGCTCGCGACTTGTGCTACGGTAAGGCATGTCTGGCACAAGGACAACCTGACTGCTCCCTCTGGAATGACTGTACAGAGTGAACAGGCTGCGACCATCAGAAGCATGTTGTACATTTGCCTTCCTCATGGATCTCCGCCGCCGGCAACTGCGAAAATGTGGACCCCTGGGCGTCTCACATCTCACAGCACTCTGTGCCCATTGCTGCTTCACCAAACGCCCGCTTGCAGGGCAACCCACGAGCCGGCAGAAAAGGAAGGCTGCAGACCTCCAAATCCAAAAGCCAGAAACAAGGCCTTCAATCCTGCATCCTCAGTATGCCTCACCGTTTTGCGTCATAAGCCCGGAGTAAGGTAACAGTAGCAGAGAAGTGTGTACGAACTGCCCTAAGCAAGGCCACTACACCCTCAACGCAGACCAAGGCCTGTGGGTCTCCCATGTATCGAGGCGGCTGACTGGCAATCTCCTCACATGGCTCACTTTGAGGGTTGCTGAGAGGTTTTCTGAAGGGTTCCCATACAGATTTCGCAGAGGGTGTCTGTAATGGTTGCAGCAGAAGCCCAAAAGTTGGAAACACAATAGCCTCAATTCTTAAGAGTAATGTATAGGGAATCCCAGCACTATTTGGCCTTAAATCGATTTCTAAACTTATGGGGTTTACTGTAATGGGAAAGGCCCCCAGCGAGGGCCGCGACAAGGCCGACGAAGACTGGGCTTAAACTTGCCGTCCTCTCAGGACCAAATCCCATAGCTACAGTACGGGCAGTAAACAAAGAAAGACATGTGATGTAACAAGAAAACAAGACAATGCGCAGACGTGACTACATGTGAGGGCGGCAGCCATACCTTGACAGAGCTGCCCATCAGCGGTGCCTTCTCCAGGACAGTCAGAGAGCCGTGGCTGCCGGCAGCCCTGGCATCCGACCGGAGATGATGTCGCAAGGTACCAAGCACATGTAGTATGGCGAGTTTTCGATACGATACATGTGTGGGCATGCCTTGGGAGACCATGATACCTCGACGAAAATGCAAACATGTCATCGTGTGATTGTTGTTGTGTATATACCGGCATCTCTTTCCGATGTCGGATGCCATGGGCCCGGCCAAGCGGGCTGCTGTTCAAGATCAATGGCTTTGTTTACCGCTAGAGAGTATAGGAGCGGAAGCGCGACCCATCGGATCATGGGCAGGTTGTGCAAAGGCGTGATCGGACTGGTGCCCAAAACTCCGCAACGCATGAGAAACCCACGGTTGCGCCTGGCAGGGCGGACTGGATGTAACTAGAGGATGGAAAGTTTCTTCAACAGACCCAACCCAAGGCCAATGCCAAAGATCCATCTCAAGGAGCTTTCGGGGAGTCGCAGCACGCTGACCCGAAGTAACCACTCTCAATTGTAGCGAAAGTGTCAGCGGCAGGCCTGCTTGTCGGAGACATCATACTCCTTGGTTGCTTTGCACATGAATGCAGCGGCTAAATGTGTGGTAGAAGCTCTTCTGTAAACTGATCAGATATTTTCGTCTTCTCAGGCGGAGTAGAAGCTCTTCTGTAAACTGATTAGATATTTGCGTCTTCTCAGGCAAGAGCAACTCATTGTGCCATGCTGGCATCAGTCATAAGTCCGTGGGCATGATTGCTAGTGCTTCGTCAGACTTGCGCTCATTAGATGCTGCTCGGATTGAAACCAGTGAAGAATGAGCGGAAGACACAAGGCAGAGCAGTTGGAGATGTGCAGGAAAACAGTTTTTCCTCGACTGGAGGTGGGGTCGAGCAACAGCCAACGGAAACCTGTTCGCATCAACGCGAATCATATTCCAGAGAAGTGCCCTGACCAACTTTCCCCAAGCCGCCCAGTAACCCATATATTGGGAACCGTTCCTGGTTACCGGTCTCCTGGGTAACTGTTTTAAAAAGGCCCAGTTCCTGGAACCAGTTCCTAGGATCCCTGGTGACCATACTAAATCTAGACTCATTGCCTTGTTTAAATCTTTGGATGACATCTAGATCGTCTGATGGATGAATTGGCCTTGTTATCCGCTGCCTAGGGCACGTATGTGTGTGTGTCTCTGTGTGCATGTGTGCCTGCGTACTGCAATCAGAAACTCGCCCTTGCTTTGTTTTCGGCTTTAGGACACATGTGTGCGTTGTGTGAATATTCAGGTATGCAATCTATTCGATATCTATAGATATAAATGAAATCGGCCTTGCCCTTGGCCTCCGGGTCATACTACTCGTACTAGTACTCGTAAGTCTAGAGCTAGCTAGTAGGACTTTAAAGGACTGACCAAGGATTCGGCTTGGAGATTCGAGCCTCGCCATGCATGTATGTTGCGAGCTGCTGCTCGGGCTCGTTCTCGAGCTCTACAAAGGAAGAGTCCACCCGCCACCTCCCATTGCAAGCTGCATTGTGCATGCGCCTCACAGTTTCAGAGCAAAGACGTGATTGTACTGCTGTGATCTCAAGAGGTTCCGTTTTAGAGGTCCTGCTAGCAGTTTCACTTGTGTAGAGATGCCCAGCAGCGCTGCTGGCAGCAATCGGGGTAACCCTGAACCCGATCCAGAGTTCGAGCACCCGACCAATCCGGAAGATGATGAAGAGCTTCGAGACAGCATATTAATGAAGGTGCATATACAATTGCATGCCTAGTTTTTTTTTCACGCAGTGCACGTGGCTAAGTGGCATATTCCATGCACTCGATCGATGTATGAGTTCAGGCTGTGTCTTCTGAAAGACATTTTGGACGATTTCCTGAGATCCCGGGAGGAAGGATCCAACATGTCTCGTGCTGCCAGCATGAGACGGTCAGACGCGACTTTGCGGCGATTCGTGCATGCGTGTGTGTATGTGTGTGTGTGTCTGCTGTGTGTGTGTGTGCCGGTGGTGGTGTGTAATCACATGTATACATGTAATCTGAGTCGCACGATGTTTTCGAGCCCTTCGAGTTTATGTCGGAAGAAGTGGTGGAGGAAGCGTTCGATGTATTAGCACCTCTTCTGGCCACATTTGGCCCGAAGGTTCCATTGCTATCGAAATTCAGAGTTGCCGGATTGCACTGATACCATCATTCTACGTGCTCTTTTCACAAGATCGAGCTGTCAACCCCAGGATGCATTTCATTGGTTGCAGCAAGAGCACGATTTCTTCGGGACCAAAGCCTTGAAGAAGTCGATCGCTGTATCTTGCATCGGGAGTTCGGGATTTGTACATATTTGCAATTGCATGTCAAATACAATGTGGTCTTAGGCATGGGCTGATCTGAACGCGGGCACACTTCGGCATCGCGCCACGTATATGGTGCGGCTGTGGCGGAAAACGCCGCTTCGTTCGAAGCAACTTGCTTGCATAAAGTTCGATTCGTTGGCTGCCAGCAATATATGTGCCATATCGGTGAGGACGGAGAAGATACAAACCTTGAAGGAAATATTATCAGTCTTCGTAAATGGCGAGGCTGGGTGCAGTTGCATGCATGCATAAATATTGCGCATATCATATGGTTGCTGTTTCAATGCAGGCACCCGGGGAACCTGAAGCTGCAGAGGCCATGGAAAGTCCAAGTGCCCCCGAAGCTGCAGATGCCGAGATGGAATGTGCAGAGTCAGACAACCCCAGGGCTGAAGAGGCCACAGAATGTGAAGAGGCCCCTGGAGCTGCAGCTGCACCCGAATCGGCCGGTGAACAGGAGCCCGAATCTGAAGAAGCCATGGAATGCGAAGGTGCCGAGGCCCCCAAAGATGAAGATGCCGATATGGAATGTGCAGAGGCCCCCAGCACTGAAGAGGCCGCAGAATGTGCAGAGGCCCCCAGCACTGAAGAGGCCACAGAATGTGCAGAGGCCCCCATCGCTGAAGAGGCCACAGAATGTGCAGAGGGGCCCATCGCTGAAGAGGCCACAGAATGTGCAGAGGCGCTTGAGGTTGAAAAGGCCACGCCAAAGCTTGGGAATAGCCAGAAGTATCCACCTGTCCCGGTCTTCGAGGCAGGCGGTTCGTTTATAATTAGCTCGTGTGCATCATGCCTTGCAATTGGATGTGCTCCTGCAGTATCCGGTCAATGCCAGGCCATTGCATCTGCTGGGTACAAGGGCAGGAAGCAAGTGGACACAACAAAGATCGAGGAGACTACTACTGTTCGTTCCAGTGAGCAGGACTGCGAAGATTGTGAGATGTAGGTCTAGAGATAAAAATGAAGCGAGGGACGATACCTTTGCACACGCAGGACCACGAGCCGTTGATCAAGGATCCGCCACAGTGGGAGTCGGGGCAGGTGGATGCCCTGCTTGCACAAGCAGACGGTGAGCAGCTGCCGCTTTTGCAGTCCCAGCTGCTCCTTGACATAAAGTTATCATATGGGGGGCTGCTGTTTCAATGGCTGTTTTGCAAAATTACACGTAATACAGCTGAGGAGATCGGCTCGGAAGGCCGAGGTGAAAGCAAAAGCTAAGGCAAAAGCCAAGGCAAAAGGCAAGGCAAAAGGCAAGCCAAAAGCGAAGGGAAAAGCGAAGGGAAAAGCCAAGGCAAAAGCATGCGATAACGAAGGAGAGGAGCCGGCCGACGATGATGAACCCGAAACGAAGGACGACGAAATGCAGGAGCCGACCGAAGAAGCTGGAGCCGAAAGCAAGGAGCAAGAAGCGGATGAAGACGAAGCTCAGCCGAAGACCACTACGGGACGTGGCCGTGGACGGGGACGTGGCCGTGGGAGGGGCAGGGGAGTCTCCGCATCGGCTGGAGGAGCAGATCTCAAGGCCAAGGAGCCGGCTGGAAGGACTGGCAAACCATCCAAGGCCGGAGTGAGCGCCGAAGAGGAGCCGGAAGCTACAGGCAGGTTAAAAAATGCATCGTACTCATCCATATACATGGTATGTGCGACGGTGAAACTCGTACTCCTGGTTGCAGGAGTGGCAGAGCCAGCTGCAAAGAAGCAAAGAACGAGGAAGTCCAATGAGCAGATCGAGCTCAGCAGGAACCTCCCGGCCCTCAAGGACTACTTTGCCACTCGTATGTGTACATGTACATGCTATTCCATGAATATATGTCATGCTGATCGCATACATGAGGTGATGCCATACTGGTCTCGCCGTGATGTTGGCATTGTGAAGCGCGGGAATGTGCTGGACCCCAAATCCCAGGCAGCACGCAGGAATGTACTTGCATATACATGTGTCCGGAAATCGACTTAAGCATTCGAATGTCCACGGCAGGTGCTGTCCCTGAATGGTCGGTCGTTGAAGCTCGACGAGGGTGTGATCAGCTGGAGGGAAATTCTGGAGCCCTGCTCTGAGGCTGTGTCCGGCCTGCATTATTCACGTGATCTCGATGCTGTTGTTGCAATTGGCCTGGGCTATATACTAGTAGACAGAAACCTCATGCATCATTAAGGCCGTGGCCCTGCAAAAGGGAGATGCATTCGAAACTGTGCAGCAGAATTTTGAGCAAGCCAAGATGGCCCTTCAATCATTGGCTGAATTTCGCCGTAGGCATGCCGAGTGAAGGGTTTGTGTGTGTGTGGGGGTGTGAGGTGAGCAGTGTACGTAGGTGCTTGCAGTGCTGTGACATGTACTCCTAAAGCCTCATACAAGAATAAGCTTGTCACCTCACGCCGTGTGCGGGGCATCGGGCCTTGGAACGATGCGATTTTTGGCAACTCGGCACCGCAATGTCAGAGCTTCGGGTCACAGGCGCTAGCTGTACATGTGAGCGATCAAGCAGCGGGACGAATCCTGCTGTCGACAGTTCCGGATCCTGCTTGGGAGTGGGCGCACAATACGTTGCTATGTGTGTTGGCATGTTCTAATCTATAATTTAACCCCAAACCCCAACTTCTAAATTTAAAACCCAAAATGGTAGATGTCGTTGACAAAACCCAAAACCCGAACAGTAGAACCAGACGATGTCCATTCAAGCCTGCACCCCAACAGCCCGTATAAGGTGGAAACCCTAAAACCTGTTCCCCCAATTGCAGATGTGCAAACCTTGTGGACTCCACGCCAGCAGGTTCCATCGAATGATTCGTTCAATCGGCTCGCAAGCTAAGGTGTACATGTATGCAAATATCTCGGCCTCTTGCATGATTGTACTTGCCTGTGTAGGCCGGCCC